AAGTTCTGTGTTGGCACAGTGGCCTGATTCCTGTGCAGGAACAGCTGTCGGGGGTCCTCCAGTAACTCACAGAGAAACAGTATTCCCACTACTAGAATCCCAGGTCACAGAGCGACACAGAATGCAGCCTCCTTCTTGCCCACCATCTTGGATCCCCTGAAACACTTCTTGAAAGGGTATAATTTGGTTTACACAGTACCTGTACAGCAGTGACCCAACATAAAAGTTCCCTAACAGCCAGGCATGGTGGCTGGCTCACACCTGTAATCCCAGCAGCTTGGGATGCTGAGGCAGGAGGATCTTGAGTTGAAAGACAGCCTCAGCAACTTATCGAGGTCCTAAGCAACTTAGCAAGACCCTGTCTCTAAATAAAAATATAAAAAGGAATGGGGATGAGGCTCAGTGATTAAGCACCCTGGGATTCTATCCCTGAATCCCTAATACAAAAAAAAAATCCCAAATATCAAATGCCAAGGATCTATTCCTATTAGCCTGTATTGTTATTGAATCATATGTTGACTTCTGACACTAGTTTGAAATGCTTTTTGACCTGCAAAAATGTTTTGTTGTGATTCAGATTAAAATTTGATCTTAACCGTTTCATGCATAGCTTCATTATGATGAATTAAGCCTGCTTACCAATACAATGTACTACAAAATGGGAGAGTCATCAGTAAAGGAATTGACGTTACATGCACATTTCTACACTGAGAATATTACATTAACCTTTGTCATCATTAATGTTCATTATACTGGGCAATAGAATGCAGTTGGTACTAGAGAAGGTTTGCACACAAACAACAAGTCTGCACCAGTTGAGTAAAAACATTCCCAGAAAGTTTGCTTTATTACTTTGTTTCTTTAAAGGTTTTTTTTTTTTTTTTCATGAAAAGTTGATAGGCTTTATTTAGAGAACTAGGTATAATTAAAAGGGAGCCCTGTGCATGAACACCATCTTCCTAGCTGGAAAGAATGCATTGACCCTTGAAGTTCTCTCTCATGTGCTTCTGTTTGCATTATTCATTTCCAGCTAACACAGCAATTCTAAAATGCCAGCATTTGCTTTTTGTTTTCTGGTACTATGTCTAAGCAATCTAAACCTACCTTGGGTACCAAGAAGATAATGCCATGCTTTTATGGAATTCCAGATCACTGGTTCTCTTTCAAGTGGAGTTGGAGGTAGTGCAGTTGGCCTATTAATACATTTAAAATTTGATTCTATTCCTTAACCAATTCTTTTCTCATGAAGAAAACTGTCCTATGACCAGCAATTTCACAAATAAGTGCCAGAGCTGATCTATACGAGAATGATATAGGAGTGTACATCATGATAGATGAGATTCAACAAACAGCAACATTCATTTTATAATCATAAATTAGATGTGATTTGGGCTTGTATGACTGGGTCTGAAACTGTTCATCTGATTTTTATTCTGTTTCTTAAAGGCTAGAGGGCATTTTGTAATAGTTAGGCTCCTCCTCTCATGGAAGACTATGTGAGAGAATGAAATAATGGAAGACAAAGGTTTGATCTCTCATAAACTCTAAGGAGAATCTGAAAAGGCAGACGATGTCTTGCGTACAGTTAGCCTGCAGTTAAATATTCATTGAATATTTGAGCAGATTAGAGCTGGACCCTTCATCCTTCATGTGCTGAGGAGCTATTTCTAATTTTCTAGCAACCTTGAGATCACAGGATAGGAGACAGAACTCCATTTTTTAGTAGACTTAGAAAGTAGGAAGAGTCTTGGCTAACCATTGTGAAAAACTTTTCTCTCTTCTTGTTCTTGGGTCCCTTGGGCATACTTCAAAGAAGAGGCCCATTGGCACCTTGAATTGGAAAGCAAGAGTTGCTTTCAGTTTGATCTTTTTCTCTGTGTGAACAGTGGCAATTCACAGTGCTCTGTTAAAATTAGCAACATTTTTTTTTAAAACATTAACTAAAGATGTCTGGAGAAAGGAATTCTTTCATTTCATTCACAGTGAGAGTGGTTGTTACACTGAATATCGCTTAATTGCCTGACCAGTCAGACATGTTTGTCCACTATGAAAGGTAAAGCATGTATTGAATATTGAATATCTACTTTGGATTCATTTGTTCAACAAAAACATATTGAGCTAAGTGAGAGGCACTGGAGATACAAAGATGAATAAAATAAATATGGTTTCTACCCTCATGATGCTAAAAATCTAATAGTAAATAAACAATCACAATGTGGTGTAGTAAGTGCTAGGACAGAAGTGAAGATCCTTTGGGAGCACATATGAGGAGCACTGAACAGACTCAGAAGGTCAGAGAAGTGACCTTCTGAAGTGAATCAGGGATCTGAAAGTAGAGGGAGGCAGACACCGATGGAGGCAGAATTGCAGGGGGAACAGTAGGAAGAGGATTCCTAGCAGAGACCACAGCTTAACTGGTGAGTCAACATCAATGGAGAGTAGTGCATACTTGAGAAACTGAAATTAAATGTAGCTAAGTGGAGAGTAAAAGGAAGAGAGTGGCAAAAAGGGGGGCAAGAGATGCAGGCAGGAGACATCAGACAGGGTTTTTTGTTTGCTTGAATCAAAATGTTGAGCTTTAGCCTAAGGGCTGTGGGGGTTAGGGAATGACAAGATCAGAGGTTTAATTTTGAAAGATTATTCTGGATGCATTGTGGAGAATCAGCATGGAAGTCTGGAGGCAGAGAGAGAGAAAAAGTTATAGCATTGCCCAGGTGAGAGAGAATGGAGAACTGCCTTGGGAATGGAGACATGTGGGTCAATGTTAAACACATTTTAATATTTTTATATTTGGCAGGACTATGTGGTTGGTTGGATGAAAGAGTAACCATGATTCTGGCTTGGGTAGCTAGATAGGTGGTTTATAATAGGGAAGCCGAAGATACATGTAGTTTGAGATCACTATAAGATATCCATGATGTTGTTCTGTTGGCAGTTGAGTGTATGAGTCTAGAATCCCCAAAAGAGATCTGCCTTAGAAATATGGATTTGGAGATCATTCAAGCCTAAGGTCCTACAAGTGAGTAAATCTAGGAAGCCATGATCTAGAAGGGCTGAGATTAACAGGAGTACGGTGGAAGAAAAGAAGCCCATAACAAAGAGAGAAATATCGGGACCTAGGGGTGGCGGGTGGGGAAAAGCATAACATCAGAAGAGATCAATGGTCCAGAAGCCAAGAGAAGAGAATCCTTGAAGTAGACATGGTCCACGATGTCACATTACTATGGAGAAAAGTAAGTTAGGGTCTGAGAAATGTCCATTGGATTTAACTACAAAGAAAGAGTTAGGACCTTAATAAGAAGCCATATTCCAAAGATTTTGAGAAGATCCTTAAGGATAAAGAAGTGGAGACTCAACAAGGTCAACTAGTTAACTATAGTGAAGAAGAAAAGGAGAAGGAAAGGGTGACAGAGAGGAAGGAATGAAGAGAAAAACTGGAAGAGGATGCAAAGTTGAATGAAAGGTTGCTTGGTTGGTTGGTTGGTTGGTTCTGTTTTGCAGATGAGAGCTATTTGAGGATATTTGAAAGCTGAAAGGAAGTGGGGTTAGGGGGGAGAAAGCATGAGTAGAGAGTAGGATGGAGGAGAGAAGATAGGAAAAAACAAAATGGGGAGAGGGGTAATCTTGAAGATAGGCAGTGGAGGGACCCCCTTATCTAAAAATAAGATTTCTTGTATTGCCCCTCTTAGATAAGCAGAGGTCAACTACTGAGAGAGAAGGAGGCAGAAGGAAGAGTGTAAGTCTAAGGAGCATGAAGAAAGCCTGAAGCATTTGCTAGAGAATTGGAGAGACTGCTGAGTAGCCCTGAGGGCCCAGTTGAGGTTGGAGAACATACTTGATAACTTGATATTGGCATCAACCCACCATATATTGGCATCAACCCTCATATGGGGGTCTTTAATACTGATGGTCAAAGCATCAGTATTAAAGACCCCCATATGAGGGTGGGTAGATTGACCTAATATTATTATATCAGTTATGTTTCCTACAAATGACAGAAAATCCCAAATAATAATCTATCTTCAAGACTACCCCCCATTTTGTTTTTTCCTATCTTCTCTCCTCCATCCTACTCTCTACCCCTGCTTTCTCTCCCCTAACCCCACTTCCTTTCAGCTTTCAAATATCCTCAAGTAGCTCTCATCTGCAAAACAGAACCAACCAACCAACCCTTTCATTCATTCAACTTTGCATCCTCTTCCAGTTGCTTAAACATGAAAGAAGTTGATGACTCCCACATAAAAATCCAGATAGGGGGCTGGGGTTGTGGTTCAGTGGCAGAGTTCTTGCTTAGCATGTATGAGGCACTGAGTTAAATCCTCAGCACCACATATAAATAAATAGATAATAAAATTACATCAACAACTAAAAAATATTTTTTAAAAAATCCAAGTAGATGAATAAGGCTAGAGTAGAACTTATGGTGTTAGGAATCCAGATTCTTTCTAATTCCGTCCTTTGCCATCCTTTGGATTTGGTTTTTGTGTCATGGTTCAATATGACTTCTTCAGCTCCATCTATTTTGTTTGTATTCTAGCTATCAGTAAGAAGTAAGTACCAGGAGAAGGGCATATGCTGATTTTACTTAAATTCATTGACTGGGGCTTAGTCCCATAGGGAAGTTGACAAATTAGTCTTTCTTTTTAGTACCAGGGGTTAAACCCAGGGGTGTTTAACCACTGAGCCACATCCCCAGACCTTTTTATTTTGAGACAGGTTCACACTAAGTTGCTAAGGCTCTTGCTAAGTTGCTGAGGCTGGCTTTGAATTTGCAATCCTCCTGCCTCAGCCTCCCAAGCTGCTGGGATGATAGACATGCACCTCCATGCCTGGCACAAACATAGTCTTTATTATGAATGACCATGTGTCCAGTTAAATTTCTGAGCCTCTTTTTTCAAGGGATCCAATGATAGATACAAAAGTCATGGCCACAATAGGGTTTGTCTGGATAAGTGCAACAGGAGTTCAAAGTAAACCATATTGTTAAGAGGTTAGCTAAGATCCTTTGGTTCATAAGCGTGATGATTGGGTGGTCACGCTATTGTGTGAGATGTGCCTCCCTCTAAACTTTGTTACCACATCTGCACATTACCCATCTGACATGAGAAAAAAAAAAGTGGTTAGCTAAAGTAATATATAATAGTGTGAGCTGGGATTTAAGTAAAGACAGGGAGTCAATAAAATTAGGGAGGAGCTAAGTGATCTTGTTATTTTTTTCCAGATATGCATCATATTCCATAAATGTGACTTCCATATTTCAGGGTAAACTGAGCCCCCAGCTTCAGGAATGTGTGCTTATGGTCTAAGCCAGTGTTTCTTTACAGGGGCAATATTGGCATTTTGGAAAAACCAATGGGACCATCCTGTGCATTACAAGACATTTGATGCTCCTGATCTCCCCACTACCATCACCTAAATGCCACTGGCACTCCTACTAGTCCTAACAACATTTGCATATACAATCATGTGTGATATAATGATGTTTTGGCCAATGACAGGCTACAGATATGATGGTGACTAACTTTATACCCAAGTTCCTCATGTGTAGTGTGCTGTACCATTTTTATAGTTTGTTAAATGTTCCCCAAAAGCCCATGTGCTAAAAGCTCAGTCCCTACTGCAGTATTATTGGGAGGTACTTTGGACCTTTACAAGGTGGGACTTTCTGGAGGTGGTCCTTGGTCATTGGGTCTGTTCTCAAAGGGGATTGTGGGACCCCCATCTCTTTGTCTTCCATTTCTGGGCCTGTGATATAAGCAGCTTGCTCTACCACGTGCTTCTCCCATGATCTACCACCCGCACCAAAGGCTCAAAGCATGGTCTTGGACTGGAGCCCTCATAATCATGAGCCAAAATAACACTGTTCTCTTTATAAGTTAATTATCTCTCGTATTTCATTATAGTGATGGAAAGCTAATACAACCACCTAGGTTTGTGTAAGTACATTCTGTGATGTTCGCCTAACAGCAAAATTGCCTAATGAGGTGTTTCTCAGAACTACCTCCATTGTTAAGTAATTCATGACTGTACTCCCAAGGAAATCATTTGGCTCCCAGTTGAGAACAAATAATCTAAATTAATCATGGCAATCCCAGCTCCTTTGCTACTGTGATTGACTTAAAGAGTGGACAATTAAGTCCAGAACTAAGGGAATTAGCACATGGCATTCCCCTAGTCACCACAATTGATTCAGGATGTTCCACTTAAGGAAAGGTCAGGTTTTTGTTTGATGATTGAAGACTCACTTCTTCTCAGCCCCTGTGGATATAATGAAGAAGCAGGTAGGCCTAGTTGCTACTGCCATCCGGCCTCCAGGACCACTAGGGGAGCCAATCCCAAAATGACACAGACTCCGAGTGTGACAGAGTGTGGAGACAAAAACACAGCGTTCTCGGTACACCTGAATTGTGACCAACCCCAAGGGCCTTGCCACTGTGAAAATTGTGATATTTGAGTCTCTAAATCCCCTCTGTGTTTAAATGAGTTAGGCTTCAGTTTCCTATTACTGGCAGATGAAAGCATACTCATTAATAAAAGAGGGAACTGAGGGCAGTTGAATCAAAGGAGTGAAATACACACAGGGGAGGATGGAAATGAGAGTCAGGGATGAACGAAGGGGCTTATATCTTGGGTAGAAACTGAGGGAAACAGGGAGAAGAGAGTTGAAGGTAATCAGAACAGTTCTAGCATTGTGCTGGGACAACTCAATGAGGTTTATATTACTCCAATGTGTAGACGAAGAAACTTGAAACCCACCTGAGGACCTCAAGCTAGTAGCTGGCAGAAGTAAGCCCTATTAAGTTCAACTCCAGGACCCAGGTTCTTTCCACTACCTCCCCATTGCTATATGATGCCAGAGTAGGGACAAATACCCCTTATCAATCCTTCCCATGCTTCAATCCAGGATAACAAAAAAGTCTGGCTCAGTGGGATTATTTTCCCATACAGAAAAGATAGCTCACCTGCAGGTTATGTGGTACTGTGTTCAGGTTAGCCAAAGAGGCAATATATTTTTTGAGAAGAAGTGAGTCTTCAATCATCAAACAAAAAGCTGACCTTTCATTAAGACAGACAGCTTACAGAACTAACATTAACAGAAGTAAAAGGAATAACCGAAAAGTGCACCGAGGAGAAGTATTTAATGTTAATTGTCAAGTGCTGAATATCAGAGTAAATGCATTTGCTTTTTTTTTAATTTCAGAAGCTTATTTTTCCTGTTTTAATTTCTTTTTAAAATAGTTAATGCATGCACATAGAACAAATGCAAAAGGCACAGAAGGTATTCTGTGAAAAATATATCTACCTCCCTCCTCTGTCCTCCAGTCACCCTTCCTAGAGGTAATCACTGTTGACAGAATGGATCCCCTTCCTCCTGACCCCTTCCTCCCCTTTCTTCGTCTCAGGCAGAGGTACACCAGCTCTTCACCTGGTAACAATCCAGACTTTCCAAATAGAGCAGAGTTTTCAACCCATTTCTGTATCCACTAAAAATCAATTATGCAAAAGCAAAGCCACCTTATTATCTGTAATGACTTCTTGCTGGAAAGTCCCCATTCCACAGGCAGGTGGAAATACTTGGTCTTGCCAGTTAAAGATATGTGAATCTCTTTAGAAACTGGGAAATTTGTCTCTTGGGAAATCACTCAATCTTTCAAGGTTTCTCCCTCACCCAGGGGTTCTCCTCCCTCCTTTCCTTTCCCGAGATGTCATCTAGGTGCAGGAAAAAATATATTTGCCATGCTCTAGGCCCTCCCACTTCCCTTGGTGAAGAAATTGTTCTCTCTGGCCTTTGAACCTACATTGATTTCAGTTTCTGATGGCCCTAGCCCCTGCCCCAGCCCTAAAGGATGAACAGCATAAGCCTTGCCCCTTCTTGACTCAAGGCCAGGACTCTTCTTCCAGCCCATTCATCCTGTCAACCTCCATCATTCTCCCACTGGATCTCCTCAAACAGTGCACAGGCCCCAAGGAGCTGGAAGCCTGATCTCAAGGCCTGTCCTTGTCCAATCACAGCATCTCTGCTTCTCTGTATTTGCCTCAGTTCCAAATGGAAAGTGGGGTACACACCTCTTCTTCAGGGCTCTGCCTTCACTCATCTGGAGTAACCCTGTGCTTCTACTCTCTGAATAGCCTAATTTCCTGCCTGTTGCTTTAACTTTTTATCTTCCTTTCCAGTCCAGGAAAATGGCTCTGAGGTCATATCCTGTGTTCTTCTTGGCTTTACCTCTGATCTGCTCAAGGGCAGTCCTGGGAGCTCTTCTTCACTGGTGTGTGTACAAATTCATCTTTTTTTTCCCTTCAATCACAAGTGTGGCTTTTGCTAACTAAAATTATTTGATTCCAAACTATTGTTTTGCTGTGAATATTTTTAATCCTATTTTGAGACTCTAAGCTAAGTGATGACTTACCCGTTCTTGGCTGAGTTTTCTGTCTCCATGACACAATGCATGCCATTGAATTAGTGGGTGGGGGAGCCATGAGGACAAGGGTTTACTGGGAAGGCAAATATGTTGGTTTAATATCTCACAGGCATTATCTCTGTTACATCAGCTTAACATTCCCAGTGCCAGCTGAAGGGAAGCCAAAGTCAGCATGGTAAATGCTACTGAATTTTCAGGTGCTACTACAGGTATACCCACTGCATGTGAAAACTTCACGGTCCTTAAAATCTGTCACCTGGATAGGTATACTCTGTCCCTAATCTCTCTACTTCTTTATTCGACCTCCTGAAGTCCATTTCCCACAAAATAGGCAGAGTTATGTTTTTCAAATATAAGTCAGATCCTAATTGAGACAGGAGAAAATGTTTAAAATGGACATGTTAAATTGGACTCCTTCAAGGTCAGGTCTCTAAGTAGCAGGGCTGAGAAACTAGACACAAGCCAGGTCTGGTCAAGGTCAGGCTTACTCGTATGTAGGCAGAGAGAGAGAGAGAGAGAAAGAGGGAAAAAAATAGAAATAATAGATGCCTGGTACCCAGACCCCCACCAAAAAAGGTTTGGTAAACTCATTGGACCAAAGTCGGCATAAAAAGCTCCTTGCACTGAGTACCTTACCCAGGATTGGTTAGGGGGATGATTTCCTTCTTCCTGTAGATCCATATAAACCCCTGGACTATAGCCACTCTCTGGTATCCCTCTCTTGGGACTCTTCCCCTTTAGGAGCTCTGCTTTCTATTACTCTAATAAATTCTGTCACTTTGCTCTCACCCTGTGTCTGTGGATTTCATTCTTTGAATTCACAAGAGAAACAACCCCATCTCATGCTTCATGCTACACTGTAATTTCCCAGCTTCTCATCATTCTTTGATCTGGCTCTGCCTCTGTCAACCAGGCTCTTATTTAGCCTCCTTTCTTCATCTTCTTCTAAGCCTTTCCTCTTACTGTGCTCTGTACTGCCCACCTTTGTGTCTTCAAACATATGAGGCTCATTTCTACCACAGGTCCTTTGCACTTATTGTTTCTTTGATTGCAGATTGTCACTCTAGTGTATCCTTCTCTGGCTTCAGTTTGCAACTATGATGTCATCAATTAGCCACACCACACCCCAGTAACATCGGCCATATTGTTCCATTTTATCTTCTTCACAGCCCTTAGTTACTGAAATTGCATTATTTGGCTTGTTTGCATGTTTACTAGCTGTCCCCTCCTCACTTGGAATGCAATCACCTTAAATAGGGACCTGGCTTGTCTTCTGTAGTACTATGTTTCTTGCCTGGCACATAGTAAACACTCAGTAAATATTTGTGGACTAAAACTAATTCATTGCAACCAGAGGGGAAGAGAAGAAAGACAAATATTTGTGGATTAAAATCAAAGAATTTCAACCAGAGGAGAAAAGAAGGAAGCTAGCTGGGCAGGGGAAAACCCAGGGCCTCACACATGCTAAGCAAGCACTCAAATGCTGAGCTGCATCCCCAGCTACAAACATATTTTTTAGCTCCACAAGCACTAGTGTGTGCCATTTTATTTCTATGTTAGGGAATACTAATTTCCATGTATGATTTCTATGTAAAGGAATCATAAGATTAATCTGCCTTCTAGGGAGAAACTTGGCTGTAAGACAGAACTATCATCTATAATTATGCCACAGGGGGGAGAAA